TTGTTTGAAGCTGCAATCCATGGCAATAATTACAGTACCATAGTACAGTATGTATGGTTAAACTTCAACTTGCTTGTTTAAAATTTGCTCCTAATAACTTGGAGAATAGACTATTTCAGCTGAAATATCTGGTAAAATAATTGTATTGTATAGGGCGAAGTGACTTATTTCAATTGCACTAATTTTGTATAGACTGAAAAAAGTATTTTCTAAAACAATTTCAATTAATGCTGACAGACAAACACACAGCAAAAAGGCTGCTGAAACTACTTAACATTTCCTCATTTCAGTAGCAAACAGCACTTGATCCAAATAATGCAGCCTGCCTGAACTGCTTATCAGAACTACGTTTGATTCTTTTTTTTCCTGAAAAATGGAAATTTCAGTAGAATAAATACTGAACACACTTATCATTAGTTATGTGTTTATTTTTGTGGGTACCCACCATCATTTACTTTAGATTTTACGTACAGATGTGCTTGTAACACAGAGTTACAGGATGTTGACTGGCACTGCTGTACATCTCTTGCTGGAAGTTATCATTTGTGTAACTTAATCAGCAGAAGGAAAGATGTGACCATTTCCATGTGCAGCCGGAGTGAGGGTAGGATAATCAGCAGAGTTGGGTAACAGGAGGTAGCAACAGTAAAAATATTCAGATATTTTCTCAAAACCTTTTAAGAGACGCAAATTTCTGTTACCCTAAATGGAATGTTAACTCTGAAATTAATTAGTGCTAATTTCAGTCAATTCATACTTGACTGCCCAGTGCAAGTATTTATTTGATGCATTTTTAGAGTTTGGTATTTATAATATTCTGAAATACTTCAACTTTTCTCAGCTGGCACATCTGAATTCAGTAATATGAAAAACAGACTCTGAGATGGAATACTCATTGAAAGGGAGCTGTAAAAGCACTTAGCAAGTCAGGAGTCAGACGACAAATATCATGTAAAGAAGTTAAATTAAGAAGGAGAAGGAGAGAATTTGATTTAGGTTACAAAAAAGTTACATTCTTACATTTAAAAAAAAGTGATGACCTTTATGTACATGCAGACATACTATTTAAACTTCTGTCATGCAAACTTCCTAAAAACAGCCTGAGGGGGAGCTAAAATAGCCAATGACCATGACAGTTCACAGAGTTTATTGCAATAATCATGCATGGAAAATGCAGCCTGATCCCATGGACTGTGCATTTTGTTACATTCATGAAGCAGCACAGTCCAATCGTGTTGTGCACAGATTTAGGAAAAATTTAAATCAAATATTCAATGTATTGAAATGTAGACAGTAACTTTTTATGAAAACTTTGGGAAATTATGTGACTAATGACACATTGCAGTGATGTTTTTATAGTAATATTCTTCCTAGCAATTGGCCAATCTTTCAAAAAAAAAACAAAAACAAAAAACAAAAAACCCGACTCAGTACAGCACAGCCCTCAATCTTATCTCAGTTTGTTTGGTGTTGTTTTTTTTTTAATTTCTCCCTCCCCCACCAGATGATGCTGGCTAATTGTTTAAAATATGTGCTATTATAGAAGGACAATTTAGGGAGCAATACATCGTGGCAACTTGAAGTGGGAACTAAAAAAAATTTTCAGCCTTTGCTTATGATATATGTCCTCTATGTAGGCAGCTGCTGAGTAATTCCATCCTTAGCAAGGTAATATTTCTATTCAGGATTTCAGAGAGTGTTGCAATGCCCAAGGTTGTCCAGGCGATGGATATTATTTCTTTACAGTTCTTCAAGAATCACTTTGAAAACGCTGACCTAGAATGCTATAATTAGGATAAGAACTACCTTGCAGGGTTTTGTTGTTGGTGTTTTTCTATCAGGTGATGGAGCACTGGAACAGGTTGCCCAGAGAGGCTGTGGAGTCTCCTGTCTTGGAGATGTTTGAAACCCATCTGGACATGGTTGTGGGCAACCTTCTCTTAGTGGCCCATGTTTGAGCAGGGGTTGGACCATTCTGTGATTCTATATGTTTGGGAAAAGCTGTCCTTAATGTCCTGGTATAATGAGATAGGACAGATATCAGGAGGTGATGCCAAAAGTTTTAGAGGAAACTATGAGTAGCTAGGAGTAAAGAATAGCCTCCTAAAGAACCCTAGGAATGACTGGAGGTGCATATGAAATAACTTTTAATTCTTCAGCAGCTCTTAAGAAAGAAAAAAAAAAAAAAAAAAAAAAAAAAAAGGTATAGGGAAATCCCTTTGTGCATTTGGCTTTGATCTGTATTTTGGAGTTGCAAGCATCAGCATTTCCAGGCAGATCCTAAATCTGTGGTTTGGATTTGGTTGTTTTAATTTAGCTTCATAATTTGTTTTAATTTAGTTTGATTTACTTTGGAAAGAAAGTTCATTCGTATTTAACCGGGATGTCTGAAGATCTTCAAACTGCTCTGGATTTAATAGTTGTACATTAGTTGTTCACCCTATGATAAACAATTGTTGGAGACATAATGCAGTCTCTCAAAACTTCCACCTAAGTAATCTCATTTAGTTTGTGTTCTCTCATGCTCTATACAAAACTTGTCTGATGCACTAGACAGCAATTCTGTATGTACAGAGAGCAGAACAGAATATCCCGAGTTGGAAAGGACCCATAAGAATCAATGAGCCCAACTGCTGCTTCTACGCAGCACCACCTCAAACCCAAATCCTATGGATGACAGCAGTGTCCAAATGCAACTGAGCTCTGGCAGCTCTGGGCTGCGCTCACTGCCATGGGGAGCCTGTGCCATGCCCACTGCCTTGTATTGCAGAACCTTTTCTAGCCCCCAGCATGACCCTCCCTGACACAGCTCCATGCTGTTCCTCAGGCCCTGTTGCTGTCACCAGAGAGCAGAGCTATCAGTGAGGAGCTGTAGACCACCATGACGCAGAGCAAACCCAAAGACCTCAGCTTGATGTCAGACCCTGCCATATCTCCATAGCCCTCCTTTGGACACTTGCTAATAGTTTTATGTCCTTCTCAGATTGTGGCACCCACTCTTGCACTCAATGCTCAAGGTGAGGCCACACCATGCAGAGCACAGTGGGACAGTACATGTTCTCACCCAGTGACAGTACTGTGTCTGGATCTCCCCAGGGGATTGGGGCCCTGTGGGTTCCAGGGCACTGCAAGTTTACTTACTGTGCATTCACTTGTGTCCAAATTATTTATAAAAATGTAAAAAGAAGTGGCCCTAAAACAGAGCCTAGCAGAACTCCACAATAACTATCTGCCAGCCTGATGAGATCCCACCTACTAATCCCTTTGAACTCAACCTATCAGTCAATTAATTATTAATTGCTCACCCATCATACTGTGTACTTGTCTACCTGTGCTGGACATTTTGTCCAGAAGGACAATGTGAGAAACAATATTGATTGCTTTGTTAAAATTTAAAACAACAACAACAACAAAAAAAAAAACAACAAAAAAACAAAAAAAAAAAAAAAACAAAAAAAAAACAAAAAAAAAAACAAAACCAAAAACCCACCACATCTACTGGCCTTCCTATCCCATCTTCTATCAAAATGGATAACCTTATTACAAAAGACATGTGACTACCAGGATCTTCTTTCTCGCCCTTTATGGAAACTGGGACATTTGCCATCTTCCAGTCAACTGGGACCCTTCCAGATTCCTGAGGCCATTGCAAAATAATTGAAACCAGTCTCTCAGTGATAACAGCCAGCTCTTCCAGTAACCTGGGATGGATCCCAACAGCCCGCTGCGGACTTAGCCGCATCCATTTGGAGCACCAAATCTCTACCACATTCAGTCAGTTGAGAGCTCATACATGGGTATGTAGCTACCAATCAAAAAAGCAGGTGCTTTCCTTACAGTGATGTCTGCAGATTGATCACCTGCTGGATATTGCTTTTGGAGAAACTGAATTAGAGAAAGATGCATTTTTATTTTTCTGACTCATAGCCTGAATGACTGAAGGTTTCTGTACCATTTTTAAAGGAAGCATTCAGCACTGCAGGTTCTCCTTCAAATATGACAATATTCCAATAAGTATAATAAGCCCTAGTTGGCTCCCTTAGAAGAAGTATTATCCGCTGTATTTTATCAGATGTCTCCAGAGCCATTTCTTAAACATGAAAACAAAGTTTGACTTGTGGCTTCTAAAGGCCGCAGTGCAGCGGACGACAGGCGAAGAGCGGCTCTCTTCGAGGCAGAGGCTCCGCTTCCAGGCGTCCTTCGGCTGCTCGGCGGGGTGGGCCTTCCCAGGAACCCCAGCAGCGGCACACAAGGCCTGTCCGACCGAGTAGCCCGGACTCCCCCTCGCCGCAGCCCTGAGGCTCGACTCGTCCCAGGGATCCGCCCAACCCGACACCGCTCTCGTCAGCCAGAACAAACCGGGCCGAGCACCGCGCAGCAGCCGCGCCCTCCGACGGACAGCGCAGCACCGCGCACCTGCGGGCAGCGGCGGCTCCTGCGCACTCGATCGCTCGCTGGCGCGGCCCCGCCCCGCGGCACACGGGTTGGTGAGCGCTGCCGTGAGGAGCGGCGGTTGGTTGGCGCGCCCGTCAGTCCGGCGCGCCCCGTCCCCTCCCTTGGATTCCCCCCTCGCCGGCGCGGGCCTCGTTGTCAGTGGCTGTAAGCGGGTGGGCTGCGGCTCTCTCCTGCTGCCGGGCCGCCGATATCGAGAAGGTTCGCGGGCGTCGCCAGGGGCCGCGGGCTCTGGGACAGGTGAGACGCGGCCGGGCCCCGCGTCCTGTACGGGACGGGTGTTGCGCGGCCGGGCCCCGCGTCCTGTACGGGACGGGTGTTGCGCGGCCGGGCCCCGCGTCCTGTACGGGACGGGTGTTGCGCGGCCAGGCTGCGCCCCCTCCGTCGGAGCGCACCTTTGGGCCCGTCCCTGCCGCCGTCGTTCCTGTCCCCGCCTCGGGCGCGTGTAGCGGGCGGAGCTCTGCGGCCGCGGGCCCGGCCGGAGCCCGAGCGCCGAGGGGAAACGCGCGGCTCTCCGGCGTTCCGTAGGGGCGCGGCGCGGTCCCCGAGCAGGTGTGAGACGCGGGGTCCCGGAGCTGCCCACCTCCGTCGCCGGGGGACCTCTCCTCTAGGAGCGTCCCCGGGCTCCACTGGAGTCGCCCTCGGGTTCGGAGGAGCCGCCGCTGTCCTCTGCGTTCCCGCCGGAGCAGCACCTCGGCGCCGGGCCGCGCACCTCCATGGCGCGTCCCGTCATTGCCGCTTTACGTTGCCGCCCCTTTTCGGCCCTTCCCTTCCAAGCACCGGGCGCAGCCGGCCTGTTGCAAGCCGTATCTACCTCGGGAGCGGCCGCTGCGCAGACGGTTTACTGACCGGTTGGGTTTCCAGGGCGTGAAAGGTGCGATGGAATGAGGTTGTTGCTTTGGGACCGGGGGTTCGGGAGGTGCTGTGCTTTTCGGGACTCAGTATCTGTTAGCTGGATAATGCAAAGTGCAGACGTAAACCTTTTGGATTTGATTATGCCCTCCGCTGAGTTTCGGGGCTAAATTTGAATAACTGTTTTCATGTAGTATGGGTTATATTGTTCAAGTGCTTCTAAGGAGCCTTTATTGCCTGAGATCTGTCTGTTGTCACATCACTTGAAGTTATTTTTTGTTCAAACTTGAGCCATGCCGCAACAGGCTGCAGGGTGTCAAGGCGTTGGCATTTGGTGGAGGAAGAGCTGCTGAGATGCTTGCCTACAGAACTGCAGCATATCCCCGTCGGTAGTTCTGTGTGTGTGAAAATGGAGCCTAGTTACTCTCATCTTTTTTTTGACAAAGCATTAAATCTGGATTTGTCTGTGTTGGCATCTGGAAAGATATTCCCTCCTTTAAGGACTTCTAGAGTTGGTTGTAGCAATCTGTACCTAAACAGGTGCCTTTAAATTCAGATTTGTTTTTCTGTTGGGATTCTCATGTTACTCCTCATAATGATTTATTGTATAATTTGTACTTCTTTGTCAGTTTTCTTTGTTTTCTATCCTGCGTGATAGCATCAGTTTAGAAGAGAAATATTAGAAAACTGTATTTTTATGAAATTGTTCACTAAACCAAAGAAACTGAAAAAATGAAGGGGGACAATCTACTACTCATCTAGATAGTCTTCTGTATGTACTTTCCTTCTGTCTGTATAAACTTCGTTTCTAGGTCCTCAGTGCTCTTTGTAATCAATGTTGTATGTGTGTACAAAAGTGTATTTAAAAGCATTAATTTAGAAAGTGGAAGAGAGTTTCAGTTGTCATGCATACAAATATAAACAAGTTTAAAACGAGCTTGCGTAGGAAGCACAGCTTTTGTCAATCTAATAGTCTAAGAAACTTATTTTAAAAAATATATTTCTGAAGTTTTTAGAAAGTTTTTTTTAATTTTTTTTTATTTTATTTTATTTTTTTAAAGTCCATTAGTGACCACGTCAGTTATATTTTTTGTTCTGTCATTGTTTTCTGAAGTGTCCAATGCCAAAGGCAAACAAGAGGGCAGAGCACTGGAGCTAAAGCTCTTCTTTTTCAACGACTACAAAACGTATTTAGCTTTTCTTTCAATTAAAACTTCAGTTTTCAACAACATTTGTCTGTGTAAAACTCTCACTCAACAGATTTTATCTCTTGTTTAAGCAGGGGTTGTCTGAGTTCACATGGGCCTACTGCGAACTTTGCCCATGTCCCTGGGCCAGGATGGCATCTCTTCCTTCTCTTCTATCAGCTGCACCGCTTGCTTTTCTGCTGTCAGCAAACTTGCTGATGGTGCACTTAATTCCACTATTATTATGCCTAACAAACCTAGTTCTCTCATCTTGTCCTCTTGCATCTGAACTGTCTTATTTTCTGTAATCACTAAGGCCTAATTTTAATTTGGTCTTTAGGTCATGTTTATTCATCATAAATATTCAGTTTTCTGAGTGATACACTAGATGTGCTCTTCTATCCAAGTGAGAATGGCTTTTCAGAAAGTTCTTTTATTTCAATAAACTAAGGTTTGGTTTAACATTACTGTATTATCTTTAGGCTTATCTTATAAAATGTCATCTTCAAGTGGTGGAAAATGAGTAACAGGTTTAGGTGTTTTGTACGCTGACTCGTGTTTCCAGATATTTAAATGTTGAATTAGAAAACCCTGCAACTGATATGTGAATGTAGACTTCATTCTTGCGCTTAGCAAAGCATAGTTGATCCTTCATCAAAGCAACAAAGACACCACAGTTCAAACATGCTGTTTCCAATTATTTTCTTTTATGACTAACATCTTTTTATTCAGTAGGCAGTCAGAAATTCAGTATCCCATCTCTTAAGTAAGAATAAGTATATTTAACTGAGAAAATAAACTCCTTTAAGTACTAAAAATCTGTATTTTTCTCATGTTTGGATAAGTGAGCTTTTTCCTATCTTGCAGAAATTTCTCCAAAATAAATATTTAGATACTTTCTGAAGGAACATGTTAAACCAAAGAAATTGAGAAGATGGAAACTTTGTGGAAGCTTTCCTAGTTCCTTTAGCAGATGGTAGAAAATGTAAGGATTTTGATATGTTCTACAGTTGTTTATGGCATGATTTGAGGTGAGTTAATTTTTATAGTTTTGGTGGTGGTGGTTGTTTTTTGTCACTCTTTCATGTGTGTAGTGCTGAATGTTTCTTTTGTCAACAAGCTTTTCATCAAGTCTAATAAATACCTGGATTATTTTTTTAAATGATTTTTGTTGGGTTTTTTTGTGTGAAATGTGCTTTATTGTGAACAAATATTGGTGTCAAGATGAAAATATTACATTGAGGTCTCCTTTAGTATTCTGAATATCGATAATAATTTTCAACAATAAATTATTTTCTTCCCTGCATTTGTTTGCTGACCTGTGTGTCACGTATGTCTGTTCGTGATAAACTCTGTCTGCCTAACTGGTGTCTGTACCTTCAATAGCAAATGACTTTTGACTATTAACAGTGTGAATGTGGAGAAACAATTATTTCTGCCCAACTGAAGTGTTCTATCACGCTAGCATTTGTGGAGAGCACGGTGTTTGCAAAAACAATTTTTTCAGATGTATCAAAATTTTATTTGGAAAGTTAGTATTTGGAGACATTCAGAGTGAAAGAAACAAATTGAATAGACTGTGTCCCCAAAAAGCAAGTAAACAAAACTGTCAAGGGTCTAACTTGGTTGGCAAAGTTGAGATGGAATGAGAGTGTGCGTTCCGTTTCTTTTTGGTTGAAATACTTCAGTGGATACTGACTCATTTGTAACTTGGCATTTTGATTCTTCTGTGATTCAGGGTATTTAGCTTATGCACAGAGTTCTTGCTCTTGTTTATTAGAAGCTCAGATAAGTACTGTGTAAGTGTTAAGAAAAGTACTTTCAAGCAAAGGATTGTTTTCTGTGATGCTGGTACGAACTGCATGTGTTCAGTGTCATCAAGGCGAGTTACCAGAACAGTGTTATCAGGTTTGCTGCTGGTCTTGTTTGCTAAAAGGGCTGTTCTTAATTTGCCAATATAAAAAATAAGAATGATTGATTGTATTTTGTTCTTTGTCCATTCTGCTATGTTTAGTTAAGTCTTGAAGAAACCAAAACGAGATGGTGTTTACCGATAACCACAGCCATATCTGACTGGGAGTTTTACTGACTGTGTGAGCGAGAGATGCAGGTATTTATTTGGAGAATAATTAGTTATGAAATCCTTATTGTTGCTTCTCATAGTGATGTTACCTTCATTTTTGAGTTTTGGAATTTGTCACGCGTTAGGCTGTGGAATCAGCCACCGAAGCAATTTGAAGCTGGGAGGATGTTTCCTGTAAAATCCAATGAAAATACCTTGAACACGTTTCAGAATGGAAACGTTCATTTTGAAAAGAAGTGAGTTATATAATAAATATTTGCCATAATTCTGTTTTCAGGTAATTTGCAGGAATGTCATGCTTGTAAACAAGGTAAAAACTACTCTATGGTCAGAGGTGTTGAGTCTGAACAATGGCCTACTGAAGATGTGCGGCAAAATGGGTTGAATGAGTGCAGAACTACTTTATTCTGTAAGTATTCATCTGTGATTGAAGTGTGTATTTTACTGTTTTTATTTGTTTGAATTATCTTTCAGTGCTCTTCTGCTGAAGGAACGTAGAGTTGTGACGATAATTATTACAGTAATATTGCAGATGTTTATTTTTCTGTGACTGCTTTTTTGAGATTTACATGAATTTGTAGCTCTCTCAAACATATAACTTGTTGTAAGTCAGCAGACTTGTTTGAGTAGGATGGCTTTTGTGAGAAGACTTACTTTTCCCACAGAGGAAACTGCAGCTTAATTTTGATGTGTATCATTATGGTATCAGATTCTCAGGACTGACGTTTATTATTCATTCTTTGTTGAGGATGTGTATTATTTTTGTAGCAAGCATTGTTAAGCTGTTAAATATTTTTCCACTTTTTTTACCTTCAGTGTTACACAGCAGTGCTTATTCTCTTTTTTTTTTTTTTTTTTTCCCCCTTTTTCTATCTGATAATTTTCATTTGCTTACCATTTGTTAAGACTGGTGGTCTTTTTTTTTTTAATTCAAGTAATTATCAGTTAACCACAACAAACAGTTGTTCTATGTTATAAATGTTTATTTTATTATTTTCAGATGTCAGTAGACAACTTCTGTGAGCTGCATTTGTAAGGATGACTCCTGCAGAATATCAACTGCATGTTGTTTGTATTAAGATAAAGCAATTTAATTCCACATAGTAATGCACCAGCTGCATTTCTGGAAGTAGCCAGAATATATGTAGGAGTGTAGTGTTCTTTCACTGTTCTGGGAAAGTGGGACCAGCAGTTCACAGTCATTCATTATTGAGTGTCGATAGGAGGCTGAACTGGAGATTCTGATTTGATGGCCTGCTTGGTCTGATGTATGTATTACAGTCAAGTTGCCTTCACACAGTCATCTGTGGGAATGAGTATTGCTTCCAGACTCATCAGTTTTAAGCCAGTCATTTGAGAGGCAGAAGGTAGCTTTCTCTGCTGGTGTTAGCATCTATGTCTAGAGGAAGCCTAAGACAACTGGAGTGAGTAATGTTCTTGAGCATTGTCTTGGCTGATTGAAATATCGCCCTCAGTGAATCTGTCAGCTTTTTTTGGTACAGATTTTGTCTGTTACGCCTTGTTGGAAGCAGAACCCACACTCACTGTGACCCTATGCACTGTGACCAATAGTAATCTCTGAATTCCTCCTGTGTGTATATCTTTTCTTGAGTTCTTTGTTTCAGGAACATCATAGTTAGGTTGCCTTCTGGATCGCATTAGCTGAAATAAGTAGACATTTACACTGTCTAAGGTTTTTTTTTTTTTTTTAATACTTGAATGGTCCCAAAATGATGAACATCTCTATCCCTCAGTTTTGACTAAGGCACAGAAGTCTTCTCTAGATTTACATTGGTATTTCTAACAAATAAATTGACTCTAAGGCATCTGTATGGGAACTGCTGAGTCGCGGCCTGAACCTCTGATTGATCACCTGAGGCGAGCCATGAGTCGGCCAGAGGAGCACAGGTGAAGGCAATTCAATTCACCTGTGGTGCTGGAAGGGGTGGAGCCAGGCTGCACCCCTCCTAGACCTATTGAAGAGCTGGCTGCCAGAGGGGAAGGATCTCGTCTGGAGATCTCCTCTGCTGGTGTTTTGTGGGTGAGCCCAGGATTAGGGTAAGCCTTCCATTTATTCTCTTTTGTTATTATAATCAACTTTGCCTAACTCTTGTTTATTTTGTGATTATAATATCCTACTATTCTTTGATTATACAGGCATCTAATTTAATTCTTGTGCAATGAGTTTGCTGATTCTGTTCACTTCTTGCTTCTTTCTCCCACTGAGAGAGTGAAAGTTTCTCTAATTAAACTGTAGTCACTTTTGTCCATATATTCACAACAGGCATCACTGAGCAGTCAAAAGTTAATTGCTCAGCAGTTTCTAGTTATCACCCTAAAGGATTCAAATCTAAAATTCTGGTTAATTCCATATAGCGATCGTTGTCTTTTCCGTTGAGTGAAGAATCATCAAAGCATTTGCTTCATTTCCCTCAATTTCCTTCTCCCTGTTTTTCTTGAGAAATGAAGTTGTGGTATTTTTCAGGAGTTGGAAGTGCTTGTGCCACACTGTAATCCTCATGAATTCTGTGATTTCCATGTAGTCTTTCTGTCAGTCAGTTTATTGATTTGTACAGTTAGCTATTCCATGATGGTTATGGGTTTTGTTTGTTGTTGTACTGTGCTTTCACACAAGCACACTTGTTACTTTGTCAGTGTTGAAGGCTCTTCAGTAGCAGAAGTTGTTTTACCAAAGTTATAAGCATTCATCATTAGTTCACTAGAAAAAAATGGGTGGGATAGAAAAGGGAATTTGTTTCAGCCGTTTGTTGTTGGTGGTTTTTTTTTTTTTTTTCTGGTCATTACAGTTTTTTGTTGACTGCTCTGTTACTGTGAAAGTGCTGGGCTGCACTAAGAAGAACAAGGCCAGCAGGCTGTAGGATATGATCCATCCGTTCGATTCAGCACCTGGTTATATAATATCTGGAGTGCTAAGTTCAGTACTGGGCTTCCTAGTTCAAGAAAGTTATGGACATACTGGAATGAGTCCAACAAGGGGCCACGAGGATGGTTAAGGGTACTGAAATATCATTCATGTAATGAGAGACTGAAAGCTGCCTATTGTGGAAGAGAGCAGGCTCATGGGAAATGCTACCAATGTATAGAGGCACCTGATGAGAAGATGCGAAGAGGATAGAGGCAAACTTTTCAGTGCTACTCAGTGAATGGAAAAGAGAGGCAATGACCACAGAACAAAACCAGGAAATTTCATCTAAGCATGAAATTTACTTTGAGAACATTCAAGCACTGGAAGAGATTGCCCAGAAATACTGCAGGATGGTGGCAATCAAAACTCATCTGAACTTTCTTGAGCAGATGGATTGAACAGTTTCAGCCTCTGATTCTGTGAAAAGATGGGTGTTAAAGTTATGAATGTTACAGAGTCTCTGAGAGGCAGTAGGATTTCTGAATTAACTTTCTGCTGGTGAAGCAGTGAACAAACATGACAACAGTTGTGGTAAATAACTCTTAATGCTAACTAGGGAATATTTATCCATTTCTTTGTGGATGTCTTGATTACTGGAGTATAGATTACCATTACTGCTTTGCCTGATTAAGTCAGTAGTTTCTATTTACAAATCTCTTTCAAAATGATTGCTCTTTCAGTCAAAACAGTACTGCGATATTAACTCTTATGATGTTAGTTTCGAATGTTGGAAAATGTGAGCAATTAAAATGTTGTCCAGTCCTGGGGACATTAACTGGGACAAAGCATGGTTAAGCGCTGCCTAGCATTGTCCTTTTACTGATTTTGCATCGATCAAGTTATGACACTTTTTCTCCATTTTTCCAAAGAACTCTAAAAAATAGATTTTCTGAGTAATTGTGTATAAGAGAAGAACCTAAAAGTACTCATTTCCATTTTAATTTCTTAAGAATATGCATTTGTCTTTAGTAGATTTTCTGAGTTGTGATTCTACACTAAAACAAAAAAAAAAAAAGACAACATTTTGAAAATAGACCTTTTAGTAAGTTAAGAATCACTGCTGCCTAATGGAACATTGCAAGCACTGAAGTGTTCTAAAACAAATCAGTTTTGGAGAGGATAAGTCTGTTTTATGGTTGACACAGAATGAGACATTGTAAGTAGTCGCAAAGGATGCTGTTTTCTTTTTTCGCAGGGGGGTGGGAGAGGGGGTACGGGGTGTGGGAGTAGCTTGGAGTTGTTTTCTTAATTTAAGAAATGCAACTTCTTGTTTCCAATGGGAGCAGAACATGTGAGATACTCCTGCTGTCTTCTAACATTTCAACACAAAACCATCTTATTATTTATAGAGCACTTGGAAACTGCAAAGGCTGTTCTGCTTTTGTGGCAAATACTGCAACTACTAGTCCTTGCTCTAATATAGTGTTTACTGCTTCACAGTATGTTAATGCTGGTTAGTGTGGCAGGCTAGATGTTAACTAGTTTTGTTAGGAAATTTAAGCATAATGCTATGTTTAACTAGAAATTACTGCTTGAGAGTTTTTCAGTGACAATGAAAAGGGTTTTACAGAGCATGTTGTAAAAACAAACTGAGCTTTGAATATTGTTTCTAACCTACTGTTAGATATAATTTAAATCAATTGTGTACATTCATAAAACCCAAGTAGTTTGGGACCTGGATTTTGAGGTTGTTTCTTAAAACTCACTACAGCAGCTACTGACATTTGGAGTATTCGTCCTTCTTTCTTCATGATAGAACTGAAAGTATGCATGCACCAGAGAAGTGGAAATAGGAGAAATCAAATAATTTTAGTAGGAGAAATCTGTCTCTTCATGAGTTAGACTTGATTCTTTGGCAACTTTCATCAGTTGATGCTTTTCAGTTTGCTTGCTTAGGGAAAGTGCATGTTATTGAAAACTGTTCATTTACCTTTCAGTTTGCAGTTTCCTCAGTGACAGGATTAACACACAGTTAATCCAGAGAACGTTAAAAATGTTTATATGTTTTTGTTTGTTTTGTTTCCTATTTCAATTTGTTGTAGATTGACAAGGCTAATGAGATGCAATTTTTTTGTTAATCCTGCTCACTCTTTGTATTTGTGCTGGAAGTATAACAGTGAATGCTTTAAATTCCTGTACTGAACTTTGGAATACTGTTTTTCTTCTAAGGACATAGCTTCGCAGACCAGTATGGGATTTCTTATGTTTAATTTCCACTAGGTTTTCATTGTTTATCATTAACTATAATAGAATCCTCAGAAAAGAATGTGCATGAAACTACTAGCTTGTTCGTGACCTGTTTTATCTATAGGTGGTACTGTTGCCTAAAGTACCGTGGAACTTATTTTAGGAACTTCTTGGTGAGATGGATATGAAATACTCACACAAGACAATTGTTCCTTAAAAGGATTTTGGTCACAGAAGTGTGAAGGCTCTTTAAATCTTGTATAGCCTAATTACTTTTTTTTCTTAACTGTTAGTAGGCAGTTATTCTTTCTATTTGTTTTGAATACATCAGAGTTTTTGTCTTGTACAAAATGGCCAAAAATATTCAGTGCTGAATTATTTCAGGACAAGAGCTTGTTCATATGAAACATTGTGACTAGACAATTCAACTGTCTAGATGCTCTTAGGTATGTTTATGTGTACGTTGTATGTCATGAAAGAATAGTGTATAAAATGATGCTCTTTTCCAAAGGAAGAAGTTGACCACTTCTGCCTTTATAATTGGAAACACGATCCTTTTCCTTTCCACTTTGTAAAAAACACGTGGGAAGGAATGAGAAGTGGAGTTTGAGAATTGGTATGTGACTGGATGGAGGTACTTGGGAAAATAAAGACAGGATCTGGTGTCTGAAAGTACTAAACTCTTCAGAGGCAATTCTGTCAGTCAGGAGTGAAGTGATTTTACAGTGCTGTTGCTCAGTGCTCCTGAAATTTGCGCATTACTTTTTTCCAGGTTAAAGGGTATCCTGTTATAGCATTCAGTAGTTGCTTTTTGAAAAAAATTGAGGAAATTCTCCTTTGAAAGTGCTTCTGAGTTGGTGTTCTCTGTCACTACAATGACAAAGCAGCTGTAAATTGTTCAGATTCAGAATAATCTTGAGAATTCATTTTTATTTTTAAGACAGTGACAGTAAGCAAAAGAAATTTCAAGACAAACAAAGCTGCACAACTACTTAGAAGTGGAGAAGCAGCAAAACATGGTTCTAGATTACCTTGGTATTACTTCCCTTTCAATTTGTATTTATTAAAAATGCAAAACAGTGGGGTTCTTTTTCCTCTTTTGAGCCTCTAGGCTGCAGCTGTATGTAGTGTAAGTGGTGATATATGTTTCACATCAGTGGCTGAATGCAAGCTCGGAGGTGCAATTATAACCACATTCTTGTTTCATCCTGTTTTCTTAATACCGTCCCACTTTCCTCTTCAAATACACTAACTGTACTAACATATTTTCATTTGCACTCTACGCCTACAGCATCTGAATATGATTTTGTTCATGGTTCGCGAAGTAAAGAAACATTCTAACGTTGAACATCTGCAGGAATAGTTGTGGAATGAAGAAACAGGAAAATGAGTGCAGTGATCATAAACCAAAGCTGAACATAGAGCTCAGCACAGCTTATTGTAAAGGCGTCCTTAGGTTGTGACAGCTGCCTAAAAAAATGTTGAAAGTGGAATAACATTTTTATTTTTATTTTTAAATCTTACTGGAGATAAATCTTGAAAACAACATCCTTTCAGTGTTACTCATTCACTTGCCTTGGTCAATGAAAGCTAATCGTTCTGATGTTTGGTACCATTTTATTTTTTTAATAAACCAATCTGTTAAATTCCAGTTATTTCAACCAAGTTTATCAGTGTTCGTACAGGGCCCTAGCATTTTTCAGTTGTCTTCACTGAGCAGGTAAGCAGCTAATTTGACCATAGGAAAAAACTGTTAGCTCTTGGTAATATACTAAAGTATGTTTGTTGTTTTCTTTTTTTTAAAGGCATGGTATACTTATTTCATGATTCAGAGATACTAGGAAAACCATAACGAATTAAAAAAGGTAGGAAGTAAGGTTTGAAATTGGCGAAGACATTTGTAGTTTAGAGCACAGAATGGCTCTACTAGGTCTGATCAGATGTCTGTATATCCTGGTATTCTTTCCTCTGTCAAGAAAACTAATGAGGAATGATCACTAGTGCTTGTTTAGATTATTACTCTCATATTTTTTAAGATGTTTTCCTGAATGCTCTGCTAGCATTCAGAATTTATGACATGGGAACTTTCTTGGACAGAGCTGATATCTGTGCTTCAGAGTTCTTCACAACTTTTTTTACATAATGAATTTGTGGTCCTTGTCAAATAAATACGCATCACTAAAAATGTAAAATTAACTCCGTAAAGTCCCACTTTGATGCCACAGAGACAAAATTTGACAAATGTGGGTAGAATAGTGGCATACTTGCTTTAGGAATTACTCTTGTAGGGGTTTTTGTTTTGATTTTATTTTTTCAATTTTACTTGATTACTACATGGGGAATAAATGCTTATGTTAAATGTATTTGTTAAGTTGGCAACAGAGAACCAGCAACCTCTGTTTGGTGTGTGTATTTGCATCCTGATTCATCCATTTTGTTTGCTACCGGCAAAATGTCAGTGCTTTTGGTCTCAGGTATTAAAGCGCTTTTGTCTCTCCTGTAATGAATATTAAAATTATCAGTAAAACTGACCTTGGGCAGCTTACAAGATCACATGCAGGATTTTCTCTTCCCCAGTGATAGCATTTTTTAGTCCCTGCACACTGGAAAGCCTATTCAAGAATCTGGAGAAAGAAGAGATGAGAGTTTTTATGGCCATGCTGTAGGTGCCACATTTGAAAGAAATTCCATGATTAAAAAATTGCTTTCCACTTGAGTATCTCTAAGGATTTTTAACAGGAACAATTCCAGACCCACAAATAATTTGCAATCTCTTACTGCTCAGAGCACAAATTTGTTTGTATGTGAGATGAAGGAAACTGTTTCTTGACCAGTTTGAGATGATTCTAGCATCATTTGCAATAGAGATACTGATTAATTTCACATGTCTGTGAGATTATGTGAAGGGTTGCTGCTGTTTGTCCTGTAAGACTTTGTGGGGTGTTAAGTGAAGTGAAAATATCACCTTTCCTAAATAAGCTAAAATAGAAGGTGTTTTTTATTTTGAATTAGAAATGCTGTAGTCAGGTTCTATGGTTGTTTGTTTGTTTTCTTGGTTTTTTTTTCAATATAGATTTGAAAATAAAGTTGCTCAGGATTTCTTTTATTTACTTAAAATTTTACCCATTTTACTTCCATAAAATTTTGAACAAAATGAATGCTGTGGAAGCACAAGTTGTTGTATTTGTATAATTGATTTTATTTTGAAAATTTTTGTGGGGTTATTATGACAATCCTTGTATCCTTGAATTCCTGTAGTTGAATCAGCTGTTGTTTCAGTTGTGCCTGTTTGTATAGAACTTGTTTCTTCTGGTTGAGAGAGTTTGATTACTGATGATTTGCATCTACCTCTGTCCATGTGATACTTATCCTTTAATGCGTGATTACTAAAATACATGCAAGGAAATGCAGTCAGATTTTATGATATAAGGAAAATGATTCTTGGCTGAATTCTTAGGAATACAGTGTCTTGTATTTGTACTTAAAGATTTGGTGGTTCTTTTGTATAAGAGTATTACTGTTGTGCTCAACATCTGTAAAGCCAGTGCTGCAATACATTAGTGGGTTTTCTTGTTGCTTGGTTTATGGTTTGGTTTTTTCATTTTTCATTTGACTTTTTGTGTTTCTGCAGCAGTATAGCTGGAATGAAGTATTTCAACCAACTAGACAGAGGTAGTGTCTTTGTTGTATCACTTACTTGAGGTTTTTTTGGCCATTCTGTCTCTGGATTCTGAAGGAAGCTTAATGTGGTATATTATGTGCGTGAAGTCCCAGGCCAATTTGGAATTGCATCTCTGCTTGAAGACCATCTGAAAATTTTTCCTTGAGACCGTGCTGGATTATCCAGAATCCCTGAGATTCTCCCTTCCTACAGCGGAGAGTGATGTTGGCTGGTTCTCTGCTCTGGAAAATATCTATTCTTTGTGGCTTGACATAAAATCCTTTCAGACACACTTGTGTGAACAGCTAATCTAACTAATTTAACTTCTGTCTTACAAAGATACAGTCAGATTTCAATTACCATTTATAAGAGTAATTAATGCACTCAGAAGTGATGAGCAGGGAATCGTGAGGAAAAACACCTTTTCTTCATTCAGTTGTTTCAGTTTCTTGTCTGTAAACATGTTCTGTTATCCTGCAGTTTCTGGATGAATGAATGCAGTTTTCACATAAAATCTAATTCAACTTAAATGCCAACCCTTTTATTTTTTTAAAGCAAACAAACAGAACACTTACTGAGTTAATTGAAAGTGGAGATAAAGACTTGGCAGAGCTCTAATGATACTTGCTTACAGTCTTTTAGAGCTGGTACCTGAAAGGCAAAAAAGGATCTAGCCTTTACAATTATATTATTTCTAAAATTGTCTTCACAGAGAAAAGAACAGTGGAATTTCTTGTGTTTATTTTCATGAATGCATTTGCTTTACAGGAATTCTGTTTTTGTCATGTATTTCCAGTGCTGGTGGAGCTGAAAATTGTTGCTTCTTGGTGCGAGCATGTATAAAAGGAATGACTTCATGGCCAATGTGATGGTCGCCTCTGCCACTCCAGAGGTACAGTTCACTGTTATTTTTTGTTTTGTTTTGATTTTTGTTTTAATTGTATTGTTTCATCTCCATTATCAAAACGAAAGGTTTGGTTTGTTTCAAAACTCAGAGAAGCCCTTTTACACTGTAGGTCATGTCAATTGCGTTTCTTACGAATGGTGTAAAATCCCTGGTGGTGTTCAAGAGGCATCTGGATGAGCTGCTGCAAGATAGTAGCGTTAGTAGCTTAGTGGGTAGTAATGATGGTAGAGGAGGATGGTTGGCCTAGATGATTATGTAGGTGCTTTCCAACTATGTGATTCTGTGATTCGTTGATTCTGTGATAAATATTTGACAAGATGGTAATTTAAGCTCCATGGTTCTGAGCCTATTCTTTTGTTGTTGTTGTTGATAATGACAATAACTGATTTAGATTAGTTTTAAATAGTATTTTTGACCAGTTACTGCATAATGTACATTTCTGAAAATGCCAGTATTTGTTAACAAGATAAGAACAATGTAGCAGACCACCCAGATAGAGCCAGTCAGATATATTCCATCTAGTTGGTTTTCTTTTTTGGGGGAAATTTACTAGTCTAGTAGTAGTCTGTAAGATGGTGTTCATTTTAATCCTCTGTATCCTTTGAAAACCAGGCAACAAAGTGCTCTGTTTGATCTGTGTACAGATGTGTTTGTTAGTCCAAGACAGCCAACTGAAGACTGCTTAGAAATTAGCTATCCCCCTGAATTTTTCTTTTTTTACCCAGTAAAGCACATTTTAAATGTATGATTGGGATTGCATTTGCTTTTTGAATCAGGTAATGTTTTGATGACATTCTTCTCTACTTGAGAAATTCTACTTCTTGTTCCCTTAAGAAACCTAAAAACTGTGTGAAGCAACTTTTTCCATAGTAGCACCTTCTGTGCACAAAATTTGATCCTGTCAAAGTGGTTCTCCTGATTTTCATGATGTCAATCAGTTGTTTCAGTAGTGAACTTCAAAAGCTTTTTAACAAATCGAAAATACATGACACAGCTGTGGTCTGCAGATTTTTCTCAAATGTGATATAAATGCCTTCTTCTCTCAAGATGGGAATAGTTTCAAACTGGATGTGTAAACACAATTCTGGTTTCCACTTAAATTCCTGTTTAAAATGGTACGAAGAAGCCATTTCTCAGGAAAGAAATATCTGTGATAGCTCAGAGCATAAGTAGTCTCCATGGTCAAACCAAAGATTCTTCTAATCCATTACTCTGCTTTTGAAAGTGATCAACTGCAAATGCATGAAGAGGGGCACAGGGGCAGAACAAGCACATAGGAAACATCCCCCCCACTGCCATATGTTTGCACCCTAAGGGTTTCCTGAGGAGAATGTTCTGGTTAGTACTACCAGAAATCAATCTTGTCCTGTCTTTGAATCAGAGTAATCTTTTGACTTGCACAAAATCCCGTAATAGGGTGTTCGTCAGCTTCTCTGTATGTTTTGTGGAGTCTGAACTTCAGCTACATTTCAGAACATGTCAGTTTTCCTTTTTTTCTTTTTTCCTTCCCTTCTTTGTGTGCATGATTCAAATCTGCCTATTATTCCTACTCTTTGCTTGGCATATTTAATTGAAACATTTCTTCTGAATATGAATTTTCAACATCCCAAGTTTGCTTTTATGTGACAGCACTTTTGTCTGTATTTCAGACACAGCTTTCAAAAACTGGAAAATCAATACAGGTAGAATTATATGTTGCTTAAGTTCTTACAGAAGGAAGATTTCTGAAATAAACTGGCAGCATTCACAAACCACATGAATTTAAAGATTCATACTTTTAAATTATTTAGAAGTCCGTGCTTTTTTGAATAATTGATTTATTTTTTTAACCAGTCTGCAGATAAGTGTACTTTTTTTTTTTTTCTTTTTTCTTTGTAGGGTAGTAGCAGCTCAGATTCTCTGGAAGGCCGAAGTTCAGATTATGCCAATAAGAGTTATGATGCTGTTGTATTTGATGTATTAAAAGTAACTCCTGAGGAGTTTGCTGTAAGTAGAAATATTTATTTTTGCATTTATGCATGTATACTTTTTGCGGCTTGCAGCATATAATAAACAAATCTATTAGATGAACTATGTTTCAGAGTCTAATATTTCAGTGCTGAATTGACATAGTATATTTGCTTTCTACTTAAAGCTATTTGATTTTTCTCCCAGTGTTTCAGAAAACAGTACACTTGATAATGATAGTGCTAGGTATGTTTAGTTCTGTTGGTTTTTGTTTGCTTGTTTGTTTGTTTTAATTGAAACCACAAATACTCATATTTTCCAGTGAAACATCAGTTTCTCAGAAAAATCTGCTTCTTAAAAACAGTAATGAAACTTTGTAGTCATTAATGCTAAGTTTTCAGTACTAAACAGAAAGCAGAGCTGCTGATTTGTTGTGAGTCTATGTAGTTTTCATGGTTTGTCTCTTACTGTGTAATTTACATGTTACCCTTTCTGGCTCCCCAGCAAGTTGAGGATGACAGTAATTGAACCTAGTTCAATGTTTTGTGAATATTCTGATCATCAAAACTGTGTTCCATTCACTTGTCTTAAGATCATACCTGTAATGCCACCTGCACAAAAAAGATGTGGGGCTGTTAAAGCCAGGTTGGATGAGGCCCTGGGCAGCCTGGTCTAGAATTACATGTGGAGGTTGATGACCCTGCCTGGCGGTGGGGGTGGAGCTTGATGATGCCTGAGGTTCCTTCCGATCCAAGCTATTCTAGTGTTCTATGATGATATGGCTGCATTACTCCTGTACGTTTGTCAGTTTGGAAAAAAAAATTGTGTTGAATCTTTTTTCAAACACTAATCCAGAATATGCAGGTGAAAACTGTTGTCAGGTAGAAATGTAAAAATACTTGGATGGCAAATCTGCACCAACTCAGCTTGAAAAAGAAATGGCCTGCCATTTTGGCTCCTTTTTGGCGAAGTTTTACAATTTTGTGTAAAATCAGAAAAAAAAACGTTCACTAAAAATAAGTTGACTAATCTTATCAGAGGAGACAATGTGAAGTCTGAAGATAGCTCAGAACACTGTATGTACTCAACAGAAGCAAAATGCATTTGTAGTGATTTCTAAAATGCATTTATAAAATTATCTGATTCATTTAAGGTTGCATGTAATTCACAACTCTGCAGTTTTTGTTATGTTCAGAATTTTTACTGCTGTTGGTTTGAGACAGAAGCTTGTTGGTGAAGGTCTTTATTTAATGGTACGCTTTCAGAACACACACGTATGTTATGTCATTTAAGACATCTTTTAGCTCCCAAGTCCAAACATTTCTAATCCTTTTTTCTTTCTCTAGTTCTAATGTAATCAAAAGCCATGGTAACTTTCCCTTTACATTATGATGATTATGGTTATCAGCCATGACCAAGAAGCCTGCTGATAAAGCTGTTTGTTTCTTTGTAGTTGTTAGTGTTGATTTCAGTATGATCTTGCAGTCTTTTAACATGAAAATTTCCTTAGCCTGAGAAGTTGTTGTTCTTGTCCCAGGTTAAAAACTTTTCATGATTTACCTGATCTTTTCTTTTAGTGACAGCTAAGAGTAGTCAGCTAGGAATTTGTAGCAACATCTTTGTTAAAAATAAATAACAATTTATGGAAGTTTTTTCTCATTAGGCTCATGTCTAAGGATTTATACTAATAGTAGAAACTTTTAATATCTGAATTAAATGGAAAGTTACTATTCTTAATTGGTGTAATCAGTTGAGCATTCTGAGAGTTGGTTTGGAAGTTATTGCATTGTTTTAGAGAAACAGAGCAGCTGACAAAGAAGCTTTCCTGGGGAAAGATCCAAAGAAGCATTCATTGGAGACACTCTTCTAAATATTGAATCATGGGAATTACAAAGTTAAAAGCACAGTAAGTTTAGATACTTACAGTACAATTGACAAACCTATTGTTCAAATATATTTTACAGGATTTCAATGTATGCAGTGTAATTAGGGAACAACAGAAGTTTCTGATAGCCAGCATGCTGAGTGGTCTGCAAGTACTTTTAAAAAGAATTGTTGGCTTCGTAACGGCATTATGATGTCTTATCAGGAGGCATTCATGAGTAATTAAAATGTGTGAGCTCTTTAAAGCATGTTCCAGTTATACCTAGTTAATATCATAGTGCATTATTGCATTTCAAGACAGCGATAGTCTGCTTTCTGTGTGACGGGCAAATAATTTTTCCTGCTATTTCTGTCATGTCAGTAAGTGCACAAACCCTTCAGACTCCGAGAAACCTAGATTTAGCTCTCGCTACGTGAACTGAAAGCCATCACCTAGTTGCAGCAATTAAATGTAAAAGTGCAAAACGACTTGTTTCCACGCAGGTGGCATTCTTGTGGTATGACAGTCTCTGTGGGGTGCCCTAATTCTGGGCTGATCATTTCTGGTCTGTGGAGAAAATACTGCTGTATGTTTGAAGGGCCATATCAAGCATATGTAAACATGTAATTGTTAACTCTTCATATAGGATAAATTAAAATTCTATCTTTATTGCAGAGCCAAATTACATTAATGGATATACCAGTATTTAAAGCTATACAGCCTGAGGTAGGTTTTTTTTTTTTTTTTACATCTTTGGGTGCTGTGGAAATGTAACCATTTAAGTAAATCTGTTTCATTTTGAAACACTCAACTTCTTGCACTCTGCTAGCACTGTATCTAATATCTAATAATCCAGCCTGGTTTACTTTGATTTGTCATCTATCTTCAAAGGAGACAGCTATGCTTTTTTACAAGCGCTACTATATGTGGATGTTTATTTAAATGAAAAAAAAAAAAAAGTCAAAATGGACTACTCTCCTTTTTGAATTTGTCAGTTCATGTTTCACCTGTGGCTTAAACCTGAAGGCTTACATGGTGAAAGATAGAGATTGGAAATATGTTAGAACTTGAAATGCTTTTTCTGGTGCTTGTGCAGTAATGTGTAACCATCTGTATCTGGACAGGTCACTCAGTGCGTACAAAGTAGTTTTTGGAGATGGAGTGTTTGTTGACTCTCTGCCTTTTGGTGTGGAGGCCTCTAAATTAATAGCACATGTTTGGAAAGTTGAGTAACTGTGATTTAAACTGAAATTTGTGACTCCAAAAACAAAAGAAATCATTTAGATCCGGTGTTAGGCAGAACTCATCTTACAGTATGTACATGTAGATGCTTGTCAGATCTGTGTTAAGACTGTATAGATAGATATGTGGTAACTTGAGTCCATAGTTAAAAAGTGGCAGACTCTCTAAGTATATCTGAAATTGCCAGAAGTAACTACAGGAAAATTAACACTTTCTGGCAAAATCTAATATGTAGTTATCACTACAAGTTTCTTCCGATGCATAATAGTTTATTGAGAAAATCATTCCTTGTATTGTTTGTTAGATCTTCTGTTAACTTTATACTTCTAAGAAGAATTTCGGCAATCTGTTTAGCTATTTGCATGGTATATTTTGTTGTACAGCAATTGATTTTTCTTTCTATTTTGAACTTGGGTTGACTTTGAATTAATCTCTGTGATAATTTTAAAATTTAAAAATGTTTTTAAAAATTTAAAAATGCTTCTTTGACTGCGATTAAACTATGTGCCATGCTGGCAATCTCTTGCTTTATTAGCACCAAAGTGCAATTTTTAAGTGCTTACCACACTTCAGTCGAGTCTGGCTAAACTCTTTTGTCTTTAAAAAAAAAACAAAAAAAAAAAAAAAAAAAAAAAAAGGGAAAAAAAAAATGACAAAAAAAAACCACACCTATAATCCAAACCTTTAAAGACTGTTACTTGTGCATCATTCAAATTATTGATTCTTTGGGTCTGAATATCACTTACAGAGATTTCATTATTCATCTTTTATTTTGTAACAGTTGTAAACATTTCTATTACAGTTGCAGATTTTGTGTTCTTTAAATGGTTTAGATTGTCATATTTTAATAAAACAAATTAGAGAGTGAGCATGCTAAACTGTGATATATTCATGAAAGTTTTACTAACTGTAGTAATGAGGATGACAATCGGGAATAGCTGTTAACCATCTCATGTTGCACAATTCTACTGTGTCTCTTAAAAAACACCAAAACCAAAACAACAACATAATTCTTCAATAATAATATTGCTTACTGATATGTTTAGCCTTAACTTCCAGTTTGAAGTAATTAAAATTAGAAATTAACGATGTCTTTTACTCCTTTGTCCCCTGATTATCTTCTATGGGGTAACCCTGGGTTAAATCAAGTGCAGAATTAAATTTCAGAAACAACAGTTGTGACTACCTGCTTAGTGTCCCTTTATATGAATATTAATAATTATGTTTTTTCTCAGTAGCAGGAGTACATATGAATCGTTTCAAGTATGTATATCAGGAAAAGACAGAAGTGTTTGGTTAGGCTAGTTTTCTTGAGTGATGCCTTGGATTGGTTTCAGCAGTACATGATAGATCTCGTGTCAGTTTTCTATACTTCTTAACATTTTCAAACATTACTTACTTTGAGCGCTTTTTGTTTCCTAGGAACTAGCCAGCTGTGGGTGGAATAAGAAGGAAAAGCATATCCTTGCTCCAAATATTGTTGCCTTCACTAGGAGGTTTAACCAGGTAAATAATTTGGTGAATGTGATGAAGTACTGTTTGCCACCTGTCTTTAAGTACAAAGAGAAATAGATCTACTTCTATGAATTAAAATGTAAGAATATTTTTATAAATGAAGATTAAGATTTTTGAATGACAGTTCTCAGTTACACTGTCCATATTTCTGTTGTTCCTGTAGACTTGGTTCCTAATTATTTTTGTCCATGTGTTGTAAAATATTAGCAATTCTTTTCCTTCTTTTTCTGTAGCTTACCAATTCCTTTAGCGTCACTTCACTTATCTACCTACTTATTATGTCCAATGGTCATGCTTTTGGGTAATGCATAGATGAGAGCTCTTTTTATCCTACCATGTTTTCTTCATAGAGCCTCAAGGTAGTTTACAAATGTCTTAGGCAGTAAAGTCCTGTACTGTAAATAAATTCAGTTGTATGTGTTTATAGGTCAGTTTCTGGGTTGTACGAGAAATATTAACAGCACAGACATTAAAAATAAGGGCAGAAATACTGAGCCATTTTGTGAAAACTGCTAAAGTAAGTGCATGTTTATTGTACTATAATCTGAAATTTTATTTGTGACCCTGTCATAATTAATATGATCAAAATCTTTGGTTGACGTTTTTGGCCTGCTTAAGTATTTAATTTCCAGAAGTATACTGATACATTAATGTTCACTTTCAAGAACAATAAACCAAGTAATTATTTTGTATTTCATATTTTCCTGTAACTTGGTGTCGCTTCATCTCTCTGCCTTCTTCTTATGTCCACTGGCTTTTGGTAATATACTGACAGGAACTTTTAAATTTTCCTAACATGTTTTCTTCATGGAGCATCATGAGAATCATACATACAAATTAGATGAAGTTATTGTATTGGGAGATATATTTGAAAAAATGCAACTTGTAAAGAAGTCTTTACGTTTCCATACATTGATAACATTGCATGACTTTTTTGTTTGTTCAAAGACATTGATGAAAACTCTATTTTATAAAGGCAACTTTGAGATTAAATTAATCCTGCTTTGCTTTTGTACATACTAAAATTTATTACTTTCCATTCTTTCTTTTTCTATAACAGAAGCTTCTAGAGCTGAATAATCTCCATTCTCTTATGTCTGTGGTGTCAGCACTGCAAAGTGCACCCATCTTCAGACTGACCAAAACCTGGGCTGTGAGTTATCCCTTGACGGTTGTCTTTTCTTTCTTGTTTGAATGCTGAATTTTTCTGAATTCTATGAATTATTTTGTGCTTTGGGAGAAGACATTCAGTGTTCTTAGTCTTCTGGGTTTGTGGCAAGTTTGTTTTTAGTTTGTTTGAAAGCAGCGCTGCCTTATGTGGATTTCTGTTCTGTACCTCTGTGTTGGTTTGTTAACTGTGTTAGTTACTTAAATGTCTGGCCTGTGTTGTTCCAAAATTGCAGAAGTCCTCAGGGCTTCTGCCAATAGTGTTGTACAGCAGCAAGTGCATGTACACTGTAGTGTGACAATTCTCCATTCATTCTAACACAGTTGACTTTTAAAGTATCTTAAAAATACTGCTGGCAGATATAAAAACAAATGAAATTGAGAATGTATTTTTATAGCTACAATTGTATATGTTATGTTTATGGTTTAATCTTTTGCATTAGTATACTTGGCATTACTGCGTAGTTTTCAAATTGGCTGTAGTAAGTCCAGTAATATGAAACAGAAGTGTAAGCATCATGGTAATTTACTTTTCTTACCGTTTTTTTTCTCCAGAAAATGTTATTGTACTTCTAATATGACTCTGAAATGGCACTACTCATTGCTGGTTTTATGCTAAAATTCAAAAGATTTTTAGCAATTCTAATAAAGTAAGAAAATTTTGAAGACTGTAAATAATGTACATTTTTTCCTCTAAAATTTTACTACTGCTGAGATGATTCAAAACTCCATAGTAATGTATATATTATTGATAATAATGAGAAATAATAATGGTATTTTTCATAGCTTAAAATTTAAGATTAGTTTTTTAATAAGCAGCAACACTTTTTCAAACATGCTACTGTGGGTGAAAATTGAATTTTAATATGACTGTATTGTGGGTTATTCAGTATTTGTCTTTGTACAGATTCTTTGTTTTAAATCTGCATGATCTTCATATTTTTCTATGTAGCTTTTGAATCGCAAAGATAAGGCCACTTTTGAGAAGTTAGACTACTTACTTTCTAAAGAGGACAATTATAAAAGAACACGGGAGTACATCAGAAGCTTAAAAATGGTTCCAAGTATTCCATATTTAGGTGAGTGTGAAAATTTAGGTTGCTCATTTTCTAAAAAATCAATGTACAGTGCTATTTACGTGAAGGATACTGCATATAGTTGGTACCCCTTCCTTCATTTCATGAGATTTTGTGAGACCTGATGGAGTTTTTAAACTATATTCTGACTAACGCACTCTGTGTGCATTACCAACGTCTGGAACTCTAAATATGTCTTTGTTTAAATGTGCATTTGAGGTCATCAGAATATACAAGAGCACTGTTTCAGAAATGCCTTCTGAGTACAACATGATCTAATACCTCATTCATGTAGCTTTTTATTTTTTGCTGGGCTATTTTCTTTTAGATACACTGCAATTTGGTACCTCTAAGTTGTAGTTGCTTTGTGTCAGTTTCTTGTAAATATGTTGAAATGGGGAGCAAACTGCAGTGCAAGTTTACATGATTGACTTGTTTTTTCAGTAACTCCCTTTTTGTCTTCATGTAGACATTACTTCCCTTACTACTCTTTTGACTTGAAGTTCTTGCATAGTACTGAAGTGTACTATTGCCAGCATTCTTGTAGAGCACTCCAAAAGTATGGATTCCTGTTAAACAAAGCCATTCTTTGTGCTGGAATGTCTTCAAACTGCTGTTGTGCTTTATTTTGTTTGTTTCTGAAGAAAGAAATCAATCTCTGAAATACTTAATCTTGTATTTTGAGAGCAATTATGTATTGTAACTGAAACAGTAAGATTATTTACTGTAATTATTTTCTAGCCCAAGAAAAGACAAATACAATGCTTTTTTTGCAGAAGTGTGCATATAAAAAGCTGAATATTGCAGCCTTTCAGTATTTAAAGGGAGATTATAAACAGGAAGGAGACCAACTTCTACATGGTCAGATAGTGGTGGGACTTTAAGAGAGGGAAGATTTAATTACATAGTAAGTGAAAATCTTTTACTGGGAGGATGGAACAAGCTGCCTGGAGTTGTGGATGCCCTGTTCATGGAGGTGCCCAACACCAGGCTGGATGAGACCTTTGGCAGCCTGATCTGATGGGTGGCACCCACTCCACAGCAGGAGTGGGGTGCTAAAAGAATCGGATGGTTTTTTTAAATTTATTATTTTGGTATTAGTTCCAAATCACACTTCTATTTTTTCACCTCTGCTATCAAGAAGTGTACATTATCTCTTTGATCAAGAAAGTGTGCAAATAATATTTTAAAATAACACCTTCAACAAACCGAGATGTTCTGTCATTTGCATATGCATATGCAAATTTGGAAAAATGTGTCCAGTTTGCATTATTATTATTCTTATGAATTCATCTGAGAGTGCTGAAAGTGCTGGGGGGAGAGTGAAGTTTCTTTAGCTAGACAATTGTTTAAAAGACTTTTTCTTCCTCATATTCTTTTCCAGGGAGGAAAAGTATAGCATAGCTAAGTGCTATTTTAGAACTTAGCTTGCCAAAGTTTATTTTTTTTTCTCAGACTTTGTATCTCCAAAGTTAAATCACACCTTCCCACACTGACTTCTGTGTTTTATCTAGACAAAACTCTAGGCTTAATTACTCAGATTTTAAGTAACGTGGTTAGGGAATATGGTCATTTTAACAGAAGACTGTCAGCCTAGACATAGGTTTAAAGCTTGTCTTGAGTGTATACTATGGAGATGCATCTGTAGCAGTATTTACTTCTACAGAAAAGTGCCTGTAATAGTAAACTCGTGTTTTAAAAGTTGACAAGCATTTACCAGCAAGAAGTTCTTCCAGACTAACAGATACATGGCTAATATACCTGTTATGTGTATAAGAGGTGTGTTGTGCTCCTACTGTGTATGTGTTATGGTAGCATGTTACCAAAGGAGGACAAGAGAAGCATGGAATGTGAATGTGATCTCAGGATATTGCAAAGCTAAAATATTTTTAGGAAACTGATTGTTTAGTCATAGACATATGAAGAATTTAACATACATACAAACCATGCATATTAAAGAAGTTTAAAGTAGCTCTTCAAAGGTCGGTGTCAACCTATTTCATGCATTTGTTCTGACAAAAATACTGGTTATTGCAGACATCAGTAGGAATTTCACTGTGGTCAAGCTGTTTAGCCCGTAGGTGTGTATAGTGTTTCTTTTCAGAAGGTTAATTGTTTTCCAGAGTACCAGTGGAAGATAAAGCCTGAGTGGTATTTGAAGCTTGTAATTTGTGGCCTACCAAAAGCTTCTATTCTCTGGGATGTATGGAAATTCAGCATTTTTTTCTCAGCTAGAAATCACTTTATTTTTTGCCATATTTAGGCATTTCATGCATGAATAGTTGTATTGCAGAGTTTATGTGAATCATGAGGCAGAATTGTGTGAAATTAATTTGACTTTTTTGTGAGTAACCTGAACTAGAACAAGATGAAATCTGAGCATGTCAAAAAAACATTTTTTTGCTTTTTTAAAGGATTACAATATTATAGTTGTAATCTTATTTATTAAAAACCCTGCTTTCACTTATATACAGCATATGTTACTTCACACATCAGTTTAATGCACATCATAACTTTGTAAAGAAGTGATGAGGTAAAGAGAGAAAAGATATGTGAGCAAAAATACCTAGTGTCTTGCAGACTTACTAAAAGATGTACTGTGTTTCCAGGAGCTTTTGCTTTCCCTTGTACATGCATTCGTTAGCCTACATTTTTCATGATTGTCTCTGTTTTGAAGGGCTTGTTGTAACAATCTTTTAGAAATTTATCACAGAAGAATATTAGAATTATACCAGTCCATGTATCATAGTTGTTACGAAACTCGAAATATAGATTAATAAATCTGTATAATGATTTGACATCAATATTATTGTGAAATATGGCAAATAACTGTTTGTGGCTACGGATAACTTCTTTATGTAACTTTTATCTAATGGTTAAGAATATTAAATAGCTTATATATTGGTATCCCTCATTTGCCTGCAAAGTTGGGTAGTCAGTTTATATCCAGCCGTTTCTGATCACAGAGCCTATACAGCAGGTAATGACTGCATCTGGTGCAAAATATTGTCACAGTTATAGAGAGCAGTATAACACATTGGCTATACAGCATGTTATATCCATAGAAAATCTAGATTAGTTTACTTATGCAGCTACTTCATTTTAGTTAAAAAAAACAACAGAAAACATCTAAAATGCTTGAATCAGATATGAATTCTGATTTATAGGAACGGATTGTTAAAATGCTCAGAGTGAAGAGGAAAGACTGGACTTATCACAACAGTAAATTCAAGTTATACATACTAATTTTATTAATGTAAATTAACAAAGATTAAATTAGAATAATCACACTACTGTACATGTACCAGCTACCTAGTTCAAAGGATATGATTTCCTGCGTCAAGTAATTGCTCATAATAATAATAAACCTCTTGCTGTACAGTTTGTAAATTGAGAATATTTATACATAATATAACATTTAAAAATATTTAAGTGTTGTGGCAGTATTTTTAGCATCCAAATTTAATTTACAGGGCATAAAAACCAGAAAATCTCTCTACAGTCTATCTCGCACGTCAATTCTAACAGGCAAAATATAACAGCTTTTAGTATAAAGAGGGGTTCTGAATTTTATGTCACTTTCCTTTTTCTTCAGCTTTTATTTTCCTGGAATGATTCTTAGAAACACAATATACAAGCCCTCACATTTTAGCAATAAATGTACAATATCTTACATTCCTTATTATTTCTGAAAAGATAATTCCAGGTAATAAAAGTATAGCTTTACGTATTTTTTAGAACAGAACGAGAAAGCTAGCCAAAGGAAAAATTATTTCAGTGGAATGTGTTGGGGTTAGGTCTTATCATCATAACAACTTTCTTCAGTGAGTATGATCCCCCCCGGAATTCAGCCCAGTAAACGCCATCCTGATAACGACTGCGGTAGTGTCCGCCGCGATACCAAACTCCATTGAGATTTGAATGAGCACATGCGTTGTACCACCATCCTCCCTTTTGGTAATGAGCACAATTACCTGTAAAAGAGAGCTCCATTTCAGTCTCAGAAACAAAAATCTTATAGCAAGCAAAAAAGCTCAACGAAAATTGCATTTTTTTAAAACTATGTATTTACTAATGTGTAAACTGTGCGGTGTGTGCAAGGTGAACTGAGCCTTCGTCAAGAAGGGTCCATGTTCTGCAGACAGACTCACTAGTCTTGCTCTCCTTCACTGGAAAATCTGTTGCATTATTGTCTCAAATAACCCTCATAGTATTTTTTACAGACCCTTGTTTAATGTAATTTAATGCATATACAATGATGTTTCTGTGAGAATTTTTAATTAAATCAGTATGTATAGGAGTTGGTTAACACATCAGTTTGTCAGTTTCTGCTTCGTAAGTTAAATTCTCATTTTAAAAGTTGCCAGTTAAGTTTTATCTTTTGTGTACAGCCACAATATATTATACAAGAGACCAAAAAAGGCCTTGTTACCTGTGTATACATCATGGTCCCGGTCCAATGTGGTGAACTGTTTACCATTGTGCCAAGTGAAAGAGTCTCCTGCATTGCCATTGTAGCGTCCCAGTCTCAGCTTGTAATACTCACTTTCTGGCTCCAGTCTGAAGCTAGCATACTCAGCAAATACTTTTCGACCTGACCAGTCTTCCATTGTTATGAGCAGTTTGTAGTTGCCTTGATTTGTTAACCAATAAATATTTTCTAGGCCAAGCCAATATTCTCCATCTATATTACCAAATCCTTGCTACAAAGGAAGCAAGAGAAGCATGTTAGTACTGTGTCTGCTTTATTGGTAAATCTGAATGTATTCTTAAGTAGATAGCAAGCTCCTTTTTAAGTAAGCTGTCAGCCAGACTTTAAACCCATCTGTTAAGTTACTTTACCAGTAACTTTTAGAGGGTAGAAGACATTAAACTTCTCACTTGTCCTAACCTTGTATGTCTCCCAGTTTCTGAAAAAGTTGACAGAACCATCCAGCCGTCTTTGAATGACTGTCCAGCCACCGGGGTCATGCCGTTGATCACACCAGACCTGCATGAGTCGG